CAAACATTAGACTGAGATCAAACTGCACAGGCAGACAGACAGAGAGCTGGATCAATGTATCATAAATTAATAAACATTGAGATGAGTTCAATGTCATAAGTAATCTAACGAAACGACCTTTAAAGCCAGTAAACAAACAAAATGAAATGCCGTATGTGCCTACATCAAAGGAGCAACGATGCAGACGAATGTAGATTATAAATTAACAAGCTTTTAATAACGGCTGGCTTTGAGGTAGAATTGAAATGAAAATAAACATGGAAGAATATGAAACGCCATTACTGCAGTTCATTTTATGTAAATGGCTACATTACGTTCGTGATCATATTATACATATCTGTATAGAATATGACATGTATGCGCAGTGTAAGAGTAGAAGATGTCTACGCAATAACATTAATGTTATATGGTGCTGCAATTAAGTTATTATACCAATAAATTATATACAAGTGGAGTGATAAACTTGATGTTTAGCAAACAATTGAACGCATCAACCATGCATAATGCTTACTACTTATTAATAATAAGCCCACCTAATTTATGGCCACCACAAATACGAGTTGGTCAGCTAATTGTAAACAAACACCACCACCAACACCATGTAATCTGATGATAACATGGGATAGGTAATGTAAATAAAACCGCCTACCAACTGAACATCTGACACTAATTAAACTATCGAATATATCAAGTGCGAAGAAATAATAACGTTATCTACCTTATTAAAGTTAATAAGTGTCAAAATAATCATTCGTAGCATTAATTATTATTTATCAAATTTTTGACATCTGCTGACGTGGTTAAACCACGAAAGAGTGATTAGAAATTAATTAATTTTAAATTTTAAAGCTTGAAAATGAAAACACTTTTATAACAGTAATGTATATTGTACAGTAAAAGACATGTAACATGTAACCAGATGAAGGTTGATCGCTGATGACATTCAGGATGTATCAGCTTTAAAATGAACAATGCAATTCATCAACTTGGATGAAGATATGAAGAACATAATAAAAGATATATAAATAATAGATCTGCAACATTGTAAGTGGTTCTGCGTATGTCAGAGCTGCAATAATAAAGACTTTAAAAAAATGTATAGATAAAAAAATAAAAGTATTTTATATTGCAACATGAAGATGCATCATCTGTAGCAGAGTTTAAACATATTTTCGTTTTATTTCGATTTATGTACAAATAACATCATCTATGACAAATTTTTACAATATTTTCATTTTTATAACACAATATTAATTAATTATATTTAGCTGAGAACAAAGCAAACATTTGTATATTTGCTCTAAGAACCACTTGTATTCATGGCATCTATCCTAAATAATACAACCATCCTCCAATCCTTCCCTCACTCATTAATATTCATTTTCTAAAACTTTTCATCGTGAAAAACGCATTTTTCATTGAAAATATAAAAAGATAACAAAACTTAGTACACATTATTATTTGTAGCAAACATTAATCATCATTAAATATTCTTTTGTTGTAAATTTTTACTGCAAGAAATAAAATACATTTTCAGTTCTCCAAGCGTTTCCAGGAATGTGTGCATGCAATGCAATATGGCTTTGAGGTAAACTTAAAAAATATTTTTTTTTCTATTAATAAATAGAAATAGCTTGAATTTTTCACCAAACAAATAAGCATGATATCAGTGAGATCACATATCATCTGAGCTGTACAAACTGTAAAAACAAACAGTTGTATAACTTTGCAACACAAATAACTCCACAGCAAACAACAACTTTGTAGCACAAATAAACATTTGAAGACCTCAGTATGTTTCAGAAAGTGAAAAAAATTACATGCCCTTTTTCAATGAGCCAACCAACCAACCAACCAATCAATCAAAATTACCCACATATCAATATAAAAATGAATGAAAACTGTATGATAGAATGAAGAAACACAATACAAAAACTAATCAATTTTCAGGTAAGTTATCAACCAGCCAATCAACCAAAGAGCCAGCATATTTAAGGAGATTGTTGACATTGACAGACTCCAAAGATATATGCAACTAACTATATCAATTTAATTAAACAGAGGAGACAACGCTACATCTAATGAACAGGGAAGCTCTTCATCCACAACAAACAACACCACACATATATAATGTGAACAAAACACACGGCACACCAATCATTAACATAAGTAGACAAAATAATTGCACATGTGCGTCTGTATGTGTGTGTATGTGTTACACATATATGTGTGCACGTTTGTGTGTGTGTGTGTGGGCGTGTGAGCATATATCCATTCATAAATCTTTATGATGATAATAAACAGGAAATAAATAATAAATAAAGATACTTATAACAGTAGAGTAAACACCTTAATTTAAGATAATTGTAAAGCAATTAACTATGAAACAGTTAGATAAATGCTTAAACACACTGTATGTGTGTATAACATTCAGCCCATCTTCTTTTCTGTTAATACTATTCATCATGAAGATTTGTGCATTTGGGAAAAATGCGAACAGATTTTATTATTTTCAAGTTTAAAAACTTAGCATAGAAACTCTCCTAAATATCTTTCAACCATTTAAGTTATTGATTCAAGCATTCCTCATTATTGATGGTTTAGTCAGGCACTTGCAACAACATCAAGTTCACATTTTTCAATTTTTCATTTTTTTTATTTATTAATTCTATGCGTAGGATATACAACAAAAATATAAAATATAAGGTATGGAAATATCTTACACTTACACAATTTATTTTTTATTCATTATAACGCAGCTCTGTCAAACACAGGGCAGCTTACATGCCACAAAGGCTGTTAAATGAGCTAAAACAAACTGACCAATAAGTGACCATAACAACTAAAATCAGATTGCTACGAACCAACAAGTGAAAAGACAACAGCATTAGTTCATCCAAGCGATGTTTGCCGCTGTTTACAAAATAAACATAATAGAGTGAGCTAACATTTTTTGGATGGATGCTTATCCGCAAATGAAATGGGAGGAGGAGAAGGGATAAATAAATGCGATGGTGTAATGGTTAATGTTCCAGTCACTGATGTTGCACTCACTGGGCTCAAAAGCAACGAGATCTTAGATAACGCACTGCGTGTGATGCATTCATTCACCTATGTCTAAATGCACTGTGTGTTTGTTCTTAATGGCTCCGAAAAATATTATTAAAAAAATTGTAAAAAAAAATTAAAATAGACGAGAAGAAAGCTTTAATGTAAACATCCACTCTAATCCGCCGTTATAATTACATTAACATCATAAAATATAACATTTAAACTATTAATATTTAAATCAAAATATTGTTAAGTTACAAAAAAGATGCTAAATTTCAAAAAAGGAATAAATATAAAAAAAATTATAATAACAACAAAAATAACAACAATAAAAGAATAATAAATTCTGGTTGCTCATTTGCAGTATGAGATTGCCCATACCAGTGAGATGTGAAAATTACAATCAACCATCATGGTCCATAGTAAGAATGGTCCTTGGACATAGCATAAAACTGAAGTAAATATCAACTTTGGTTTATGCAAACATTTACAACCTTAACTTCTCACATAGGTGACATTCTGTAACCTTTGCGCTGCACACACACCACACACACACACACACACACACACACACACACATATATATATATATATATATATATATAACATTCATCTTACCACAATGTATATATATATATATATATAGACATGAGTAGAGTCAAATGCATTAATTATTCATTCTTACCAGCTAAATAATGTGATTCATATTGAGATGCTTTTTGCTTACATTGATTCACAGAACATATTGAATCACCTGTTATAATAATTTTTCAATTAACAATGATATTTCCTTATAATAATCTCTAATAATGTCAAATTAAAATTGGAAGTTGACTCAAAATGTTCATAATTCCGTAGTTTGAATCATTTAAATGAACTCACACACATACACACACACACAATTAATACACATACATATGAAGACATATCGAATTTATACCACCCAGTAAACAGTTTAAAAAGTACTTTAATTTCCGAAATTTCAAATTTATTCATAGAATATGTATAAGGGTATAAGCCTAAGTTTTTTTTAATGATATTGAGTGTTGCAGAATATAAAAGAGAGAACATAAAAAAGTGCATGTTGTGCTGTTGTGAGTGAGTGAGTCATTCCTAGCTATTGTTGTCCAGGAATTGGTTGAAGCACTGCAAAAATGTAATTAGATCTCAACCTTAAAAATAAAATAAACATCCCAGATTACTTGCTACCCTTATAGACTGTTCATTAAACTGTGATGCTTTCATCTCACCACAAACGCTGATGACCATGCGATCAAATATTTTTTATCAAGATTCAAAATTTATTAAACTGATCAAATGAAATTTTCTCAGTAACAGTTCATTTGAATTTGAAAAAAATTAAAGAAAAAATTATATTACAAGAAAAAAACAAAGAAAAAATAAATAGACATCATCACCACTTTGTATTGAAATCTTAAAATAGTTTTAGATATGGAATCAAGTTAAATTGGAACTCAACAAAATAGATCTGCAAATTTAAGCAGTCAACTATTAACAATTTAGCAGAACGCATTGCCAATAAGTTAATTTTTAACTACCAATTTTTGGGAAAGGAACTGCGAAATGAAATGTTGTTGCTATTAAGCTATAGCAATTAACAATACTAAAAATTAATGCTAATAATGTGAATGAAATCACATAATTTTTTCCGTATGTTGTAAAACATAAAAATGAACTAATTTTACTAAGGAAAACAATTACACTGACTAATTTCAATTGTCTTTTTAGTAGTGATAACAAGGCGAAATAATGATTTTTTTTTCGACATGTTTTGAAACATAAAAATACTAAGAAAAATCTTACTAAGAAAAAAAAAATAAATTGACTGATTTCAATTGTTTTTTAATGTATTTTCCATTTAGTAGTAATAATAAGGTGAAATTATGATGCAAAAGTTAAAAATTTTTTCTGGAATTAGGAATCCGAAGTCAGGAAAGTTTACCTGAAGTCAGATCTTTTTGAAGGACCGGAGTCAGATTTTTTTGAGGAGTCGTATCTTTTTGAGGGACCGGAGTCGGATCTTTTTGAGGGGCCGAGTCGGATCTTTTTGAAGGACCGGAGTCAGATTTTTTTGAGGAGTCGTATCTTTTTGAGAGGCCGGAGTCGGATCTTTCTGAGGGGCCAGAGTTGGATCTTTTTGAAGGACCGGAGTCAGATTTTTTTGAGGAGTCGTATTTTTTGAGAGGCCGGAGTCGGATCTTTTTGAGGGGCCGGAGTTGGATATTTTTCATCCGACAAACTGTTAACAGCTCAGCAAAACGTTTAGCCAACAAATAAATTTTTAACTACGAATTTTGGGAAAGGAAATGTGAAAGGAAACGTAATAAATGTGACAAAAATCAGCCACTGAAGAAGTCATAAGCTGAATTTGATGCTACCGAAATTATTTATATAATATTAAAATAATGATATAACAAAATACATGAAGCATGTTTAAACCGTTGAAGTTTAACACAGAAAAAAAAACAAAAAATATATATAAATAAAAAGAGAGATAGTCGAATTAAACTACATACATGATATACAAACATTAAATAAAAGGAACCGAAAAAATTTTAAATAGAAGATGAACCATCCGTACCATTGCTGACCGACATAAAAAAAATCATCTAAACACGCACAGATATAAGAAATGAGGCAGAATGAAAGAGAAGAGAGAGAGAGAGAGAGAGAGAGAGAGAGAGAGAGAGAGAGAGAGAGAGAGGAAGTGTCTGCATAGGATGTGTAAACAACTTAAAAATCAACTACATCACCTAAAAATCAGCTGACGAAAAATTAATTCAAACAAAGATAAGGTCAGAGAACAAATAAAGAATGAAACAAAAGTGTTTTGTCATTGAAGAACAAGTGTTGATATGATCCAAAACGAAAAACGCCAAGAAAGACACGAGAAAATATTTAAAAAATTTAAAAACAAATGAGAATAAAAAACAAAAAAAAAAAACAAAAAAGATATTGAATTATTTGCTAACTCTGGACGGTGACGTTGATGCTGATGGCGTTGGAATGGTTGAACTCTTCGATGATTCCTTTGCATATGTAGGATCCTGCATCATTCCAGTCCATATTGCTTATGCTCAATCCACTCTCATGTATGTGGTATTTGTAATCTGCGGTCAGTTTTGTGTTTATATGTTTGTGTGTATGTGTTTTTGTATGTGTGTGTGTGTTTGTGTGCCGTGGTAAAGAGAAGTAATACATAAATTACAGAATAATGGATGAGTTACTTTAATACTATTTCATTGAAAATATGAATGACATGCAAAATATATATTCATGTTGTTATTAAAACAAGTGCACAAAAAATTGGATATTTGATGCGTATAAACTTACCCCCACCACACATACACCCACACAAACACACACCAGACACACTCACAGCATGCACAGATTATAGAACAAGGGGGAAAAATGGATAAGCTTCTCATACTTGATGAGTTTAAATTTCAGATATCATTTTCTGAACAACAAACTTCAGGCCAAACAAGTGAATGTGAGGATGGTGTTTGTGTTGCTAGAGAAACAGCAAAGAGATACACACATAACTGAATTATAATAGAATGGACAGAACAATGGAAACCAACTCATCACTAACCAAAACCACTAGCCAATATTATACACACTCCCATTATTCACACTTATTTTATGTTATGCGGGGTAAAATGCCGGCAAACATAACAATTTATCAGTAACAAAAGCATGAGTTGTGAATTAGAACCAGCCATTACAAACAAACATGATATATTTAAGATGTTCTACATACTCAAGACTGCCATTCTAATTTATCACAGTTTGTATGTCTTAACCATTATAGGAAATATTACCACAACAATACAAATGAACAATAATGCTTAAAGATCTTCTGTTACATATTCTATACCCACATCTTAACAATTTGTAATGAAAGACAATCTGGAACTCATATTTTTGGAGAAGTGCGGTGGAGAAACAGTAAATTGCCTGTCACTGCCCTTGCAGTAATATAACAGGATTCGATTGCATAAAAATCGCCGCTTCTTACATGCAATGTGTGTGACGTGTTGTGTCACGTGTATCAACAATGAAATGCTGAATGTTACACACACACACACATAGTTTTCCATGATCCTAGAGCAGGGGTGGGCAAACTACAGCCCGCGGGCCGCATGCGGCCCGCCGACCCATTTTATGCGGCCCGCGAGTCCTTGTACGCACTTCAGATTTACATATAAAAAATGAATTTTTATGTTTTAGAATTGAATTTTAAACATTTAATTTGAAGCCATTGTATTCTAGAATTAAATTGTTAAAAATTTGCTTAATATTGTTCATTCTAATGGGTGCTAACTCTACATCTAATCAATGTATTCAAGCGGGCCGCCTAGCAAGACATAGACTATTAGCGATTCCTTGGTTTTTTATTCATTTTTATATAGTTGATCTTCTTGTTAATCTTTAATTTAAATATCAGTTTTTAATTAAAATGTTAAAAAAATATTTAAAAATTAGAAAAAAATTTAAAGTTTTCTATGTATTTATTATCTCAGTCCGCTTTGAAAAGCTTGCGAAGTCCTCTGAGTTTTTAATTTTTACGCACAAATTTCTAATCGCAATAAACATTTTGTCACAATAATGTCATTATTATCACAAAATTGCCATTCCTGATATTTAAAAAATGTTGAATCGAGCTTATTAAGACAAAATTTGCTCTTCTCCAGTCGGGCTGACATCGGCGCTTGACCGAAGTTGGCTGATTTAAATTTTCTTCCAACAAAATCTCTCCTATCTGGGCCGCATTATCACTATATTTATTCTAGCTATATGGTCCATTCTAACTTGAACCTTTCAGTCTTTTATTTTAAATTCAATGGCAACACTGTTTAAAATTGAATTTTGTGCAGGAGGAAGCCATCTTTGTATTCTTTTTTAATTTTTTTGTTTCGTATTTAAAAGTCATGTCTGCTATCAAGAAAAGAAAAATAGATGACGAATGTCGAGTATTTAATGAGGAATGGACAACTAAATATTATTTCACTAACGTCGGTGGAAAAGCAGTCTGCTTAATTTGTCGCGAGTCCATAAATGTTTTCAAAGAGTATAATTTGAAAAGGCATCAGCAATCGAAACATTTAGATTTTGGAAGCAAATTCTCAGATGAAGATCGAAAAAGGAAATGCCAAGAATTGCTTAAAAATTTAAAAACACAGCAAAACGTTTTTACCAAACAATCTTCAATCCAAGTGGCTGCAACAGAAGCTAGTTTGGTATTATCTCACAAAATAGTTAAAAATAGTAAATCATTTTCTGATGGCGAGTTCGTCAAAGAATGCTTGCTGGATGCAGCAAACATCATGTGTCCAGAGCAGAGAAAAAAATTTGATAGTATTTCTTTATCAAGAAGAACTGTAGTCAGACGAATTACCTTGATAAGTGAAAACTTGTTGCAACAGCTTCAAATTGCTAGTAAAAAATTTTTGTGGTACTCTCTTGCTTTGGATGAAAGCACAGATATGCAAGACACATCACAACTCTTAGTATTTATAAGAGGAATCAATAATTGCTTTCAAATTACTGAAGAGTTGCTCAGTGTTGAATCACTAAAGGACACAACTACTGGCCAAGATTTATTCGATTCTGTGGAAAATTGTATTGAAAGAAATGGATTAGCCTGGAACAAATTAGCAAGTGTAACAACTGATGGTGCTCGAGCTTTGACTGGAAAAAACAAAGGTTTGTTGACACTGATAAACAGAAAAATAAAGAAGAACATCCAGATCATGCACTTATATCTATTCATTGTGTCATTTATCAAGAAAATTTGTGTAAAGTTGGATTGAAAATTAAGCATGTTATTGACTCAGTTGTTGGGGTAATAAACATCATCAGATCCAGAGGTCTTAACCACAGACAGTTCAAAACATTGCTCAAAGATATGGAAAGTGAACATTCTGACATACTCTACTACTGCAGTGTTCGTTGGCTAAGTCTTGGCAGGGCACTGAGTCGAGTCTGGGCTCTCAAAGAAGAAATAGTTCTTTATTTAGAAATAAAAAGTATCAATTCTGATTTTACTACAAATATTAAAAATGAACAATGGAAATTAGATTTTATGTTTGCCATTGACATTATTGAAAAGTTAAATGAATTGAACAATAAACTTCAAGGCAATGGTTTGTTTGCACATGACATGTATTACCATGTTAAATCATTTCAATCAAAACTTGCCCTGTTTTCTAGACAAGCAGATGAAAACAAGTTCTGTCATTTTCCATTGCTAAAACAGGAACTAATTTCTGCTGAAGTAGCACAGAAATACAAAGAACAAATACATGATTTAGCTAGGGAATTTGAAAGAAGATTTGAAGATTTTAAAAACCTGGAGCCTTTGTTTACAATTCTCACAACACCATTTTGTATAAAAACTGATGAAATACCTGAAGACTTGCAGTTGGAACTGCTGGACATGCAAGCAAATTGTGAACTGAAAGAAAAGTTTAAATCAGGTCTTTTGTTAGAATTTTATGGCTCTCTGTCTGATGTAGCATTTCCAAATTTGCTGCAAAAATGTTTTCAATATTTGGATCCACATATATATGCGAACAAGCATTCTCTTGTATGAAAATAAATAAATCCAAAAATAGGTCCATGATAAATGACTGCAACCTAAATGCAATAATGAGAATAGTGACAAGTGATCTGGCTCCACAATTCAAGAACATTGTTGAAAATTGTGAACAGTTCCATACTTCCCATTAATTAGAAAAACTTTTGTTAATAAAACTTATTTTTTATATCAGATTTACTGTAAAACCTGTTATATATATATATATATATATATATATATATATATATATATATATATATATATGTTATATATATATTATAAAACCTGATATTATAGTCTGATTTACGTAATGGCTTCCAAACGTTTGCACGTTTCTGAAATCTTATGGTTTTTTTCCAATAACATTGATAATTTCGATAAAGATAGCTTTAAAGTTTCTGCTGCTGAATTCTATAATAATGAGGAATTAGTTTCTGCAAAAAAGTTTTTGTTGACTGAACTTGAATTGCTAAAAAAGGATAATAAAGATGAAGCTAACTTGAAATTACGAGGAAACTCGAAATTGAACAAAGTAAATGATATTGTTGTTAGTGATATTATTGAAATATTTCAAATGGCTTCAACAAACGATTTATTGCAACAATTGCCGACTTTTGTGATACTAAATCCAAAAAAAATACCTCAAAATGTGTCTAATGAATTATTAGAAATAATAATTAATAATAATAAAATAATGTCCGAAAAAATTAACGAGCTAATTAATATTAATAAGCTATTGTTGTCGCGCGTTGAAGGTAAACATGTAATAGCACCAGCTGATTCAATTGTAGCAGGTCCTAACAATAAAGCAAATATAATTCCAAGTGAGTGTACACTTAATCAAAACACTCTCGATTTAAACCAACATGACTCTAGTTTAAATAAAGTGAAGCTTACACATAGAATGGATGGTATGAATCAACATCAACAAACATACAACAAACAATTTAATCTATATAATCAACATTTTCCACCAGTAAACTTTGATAATCCTAACCTCCCATGGGGTGATAGATCGAGTGAGTTAGATGACAGTGGATTTACAGTTGTGCAGCGTCAAGTGAAGCGTCCGCGAACACCAACTGAAGTTTCGAAACTGCCTACTTTGCCCAAAGTTATTAAGGGCAAATGTTCTAAAGATAATGAACATATCCAAGCCAATAAAAAGCTCATAAAAAAAGCGGTTTACCACGTTGGAAACTTGAAAAAGTGTAGCAAACAGCGTATAATTGATTTTTTGCTCAAGCACAACGTCAACACTTTGGGCTGCTTTCCGTTATTTAAAAAGTCAGCTGATGTCCTAAACCCACCGAAACCCACAGAAGATTCTGAATCTACTTCATTCAAAATAATTATAAACGTTGGTGTCGAGGAGAAATTTTGTGATCCTGAAATCTGGCCGGAAGGCACGTTAATTAGTAGATGGGTGTTTTCGGATCGCCCTCAACAAAACAGTTTGCGCTCGACTGTTGAAAACAGGACAGTTATCGGCGACATTAGTACACTTACAAGCAAACTCAATGAAAGTGATGATTCTGTTGATAATGTGATCAATACAAATAAACCGAACAATGGATAGCAGAGTCTCTCCATCATCAATGTCCTCATCATCTGATCAACAAACGGTTAGGATAGGTGGAAACTTGAATGACGATGAGCAATCATGTAAAGATGAAAAAATGTTACCGAATATTCTTAATTCTTGTGATCCTGATTTTAATTATTCAAACTTTTTCTCAATTAAAAGTAAATATTATTATACTGAAGTGTTAGCCTCAATGAATACAAATGATTTTTCTCTTTTACATTTAAATGTTAGAAGTTTGTCTAATAAAGTTGATGATATTGAAATGATGATTAAGGAGTGTAATATGGATTTCAAAGTAATCGCTTTAACTGAAACATGGCTAAATGATATATCTGCGTCAATAATTCATATTCCTAATTAAAACTTTGCTTTCAGAAACAGAAATAACAGAATTGGTGGTGGTGTTGGAATGTTTGTTAAAAACAATTTAAATTATTCTACAAGAGATGATCTTGAAATGAATTGTTCAGATGTTGAAAGTTTAGCCATTGAAATTTTCCAGAAACAGAGGCCTAACATTGTTGTTTTCGTTGTGTATAAACCGCCAAAGTATGATGAAATTCATTTTATAGAGCAGCTAGTTAATTTAATCAATTCTGCTAAAAATTTAAAAGATAAAATGATATACATAACTGGTGATTTCAATGTTAATCTTCTTTCTCAGGATTATGCTGCATTATCTTTTTTGAATAGTATGCTTTCCCTAAATTTTGTGCCATTGATAACAAATGCTACCAGGATATCAAATCACTCCTCTACACTTATTGATAACATCTTTTCAAATAATAATATGGTCTATTCTTCTGGTGTTATTTACTCGGATATCTCTGATCATCTCCCCATTTTCTGTATCTCCAACGTCACTGATTTGGCAACCTCAAAGGATTGTATTCAAAATGCTTCGCTACCTTTGCAAAGAAAAGATTGGGAAATGATAAACTCTAATTTGTTGAACTATTCATGGTCATCTATTTTCACCACAACAAACGTTGATGATGCTTTTCAAGTTTTGATAGATTCCATCCAATCAGTCATATCTAGTGTCAAATTAATGAAACATAAAGATTTACCGAAAAGAAAGAATCCTTGGTTTAGTTCAGGTTTATTAACTTCTTCTAAACAGAAAAACAAATTATATAAAAAATACCTACGTTCTCCCACTGACGACAATAGAAAGATTTATGTGATCTATAAAAATATATTTACAAGGATTAAACGTAAAGCCAAATACGAGTATTTTAAAAGAAAATTTGATGATAATAAAAATAACATTAAATCGACATGGAAAATAATTAATAAATTGTTATCAAGAAATAAGTTAAGCAATTCAATAAATTTAATTAAAAATGAAAATGACACTTTACTTAATTCTTTTGACATTGCTGAATGTTTCAATAAATACTTCGTTGATATCTCTTTAAAAAACAATGCTGATCCTAGAAATTCAATATCAGATGATTATCTTCAATTCATGTCAAAGCCAAATAACAAATCATTTCTTATTGAAAAAATACATACAAAGGAGGTTTTTGACATAATCAATAATTTCAGTAATTCCTTTTCTACTGGAGATGACAACATATCAAATTTTACTCTCAAAAATATTATTGTCAGCATTTTGGAACCTTTAACATTTTGTATCAATTTATCATTTACAACAGGGATTTTTCCTAAGTGTCTAAAAATAACAAAAGTTATTCCAATTCATAAAAGTGGTCAACATATCAACATATCAAATTTTACTCTCAAAAATATTATTGTCAGCATTTTGGAACCTTTAACATTTTGTATCAATTTATCATTTACAACAGGGATTTTTCCTAAGTGTCTAAAAATAACAAAAGTTATTCCAATTCATAAAAGTGGTCAAACTGATCTTGTTTCTAACTACCGTCCTATATCTTTGGTATCATCAATCTCCAAAATTTTGGAAAAAATGTTGCATTCAAAAATATCAAAATTTTTTGATGAGTGTGGTTTTCTATTTCCATGTCAATATGGATTTAAAAAAGACTGCTCCACCAAATTAGCGGTTTTGGACGTAATGCAATTCATAACTAAAAACATCGATCAAAAATTAACAACTATGGGTATTTTTATTGATATTTCGAAAGCATTTGATTCTATCAATCACGACTTGTTGCTAAAAAAACTTTATCATTATGGAATTCGTGGTTTAGCCTGGAGTTGGTGTCGGAGCTATTTAATAGATCGACATCAATATGTAATCAACAGAGGTGTTAAATCTAATTTGTTGCCAATAGGTAGCGGAGTGCCGCAAGGATCCATACTTGGTCCACTTTTCTTCAACATTTTTATCAATGATTTAACAAATATTAGCTCATCCCTTAAATTTGTTATGTATGCAGACGATACAACAATCTTGGCAAGTGGTAATTCGGTGCATGAAGTCGAATCTCTTTTGAATATTGAACTTGTTCATTTATCTCGATGGATGACTTTTAACTATTTGAAAATTAATATATCTAAAACTAATGATATTTTGTTTGGACCTAAAATCGTGACTAATTCGCATTTTTTTCAATAATGTATAATAATTGTCCTATAAATAGAGTTGATATGATTAAATTTTTGGGTATTATTATTACTAGTAATTTAAATTGGAAAGACCATATTATATATATTTCAAAAAAAATTTCCAAAAACCTAGGTGTTATATATAAATTAAAGTTTTTGTTGCCCAGGCATATCTTTATTAGTCTTTATTATTCTCTTATATATCCTTATTTTATATATGGTATTATTATTTGGGGTCGTCAGGTTAAATGTCATATGTCAATATTAATTGGTTGTCAATATTTTTTCATTAGAATTTATTATGGTTTAAAAAAATTTGATCATATCTCATCACATTTTTTACAGTCTGGTTTATTAACAATTAATCAATTGTATGTTTTAAGAATTTTAATATTTTTTTTTAAGTTAATTGCTTTAAATATGTATCCTCAGTTCCACTCATGTTTGCTGACTTCTTCTGCAGCGGGTGTTCGGGTTCTGCGCCATACCCCAATCTATCGTACTACCATGTCTCGTACTGTATTACATTCAAATTTTGTATTGAACTTTGGTGTAAAATTGTGGGAGTCACTTCCATTTAATCCGCTGTCGGGTATTTGTTTGGGAATGATTAAGAAAAAGGTTATTAGGTTGTTATTATCTAATTTTTTCTCATAATTTTTTTTTCTTTTTCTTTTCTTCATTGTTTTGTAACATTTTAATTTACTTTGTGATTGATTGACAGATAATCATTTTCTGTAACTTACTTGATTTGATTATTTCTGTTTGATTTTTGTTTTTGACCATACAAGCCTACTGTAGGCTTCTGGTCCAAGGTCTTAGAAATAAATAAAAAAAATAAATAAATAAATATATGTAATTGACAATTTTTGCAAATAAATAAAAACGTAATTTTTGGCATAAATAATTTATTTATAGCTTTAAAAAGCAAACACACACACACACACATATATATATATAATGAATATATATATATATATATGTATAATATATATATATATATATATATATATATATATATATATATATATATAAAGATGCGGCCCTCCAAAAGTAAAACGTTTTTCAATGTGGCAATTACGAAAAAAAGTTTGCCCACCCCTGTCCTAGAGAGTTATGCAATAGCAAAGACATCATGCGCATGAGTAAATCACTTCGCTACGTCATACATTTTGCTTGCATATCGCATCAGGTCATTGCATTCCAGAATCCAACAATTAATACCAACCAATCAACTGTCAGATCATCAATAGATGCCTGACTTCCTTCTACTCCTCAACAAAACTTCAACATTACATCCATGGTCATCATCACCATCATCACTACATATAGCTAACAAGCACACCATCATCCATAAATGCATCAGAGCATACATTAACAGCGATGCTTGGAACACTTGATGCACTTGATAAACATACAATTCAACACACATCATATTTTTTAACATTCAACGAACAAAGTCGAGTGTGATACCACTAAACATTTTTTTTTTTCGTAAAATTCATCAAAAAAAATTGTTGCTGCTACTTAATATGCACAGAGATTTTAAACTTTTTATTTGAATTGTCCTGGATAACATTTTATAAAATAAATTTTTTAACAAATTTTTTTAAAATTTACAGAAATAGTACCATGATAAATAGCACAACCAAACTTTGCCAAGAAATCTGTGACAGCAACAAACCCCAGCTCCATAGAGCAAAATATATAGACATGAACACAATGCAAAATTGTGTAACATAGCTCATGTTGAATTTAGTATGAGTGCTAATAACAAGGTTGGTAAACAATTTGTGCCAGTGCAAACATAAACAGTTTAATGAACTGCTTGGAGAAATGGTGATTACAGTTTAGTACGAATTTAAAAACCATTCAAAATGCAATTAAGTGCATATTTAACAGACCATGATAAATTTCTTCATACTACCTTCTAACAAGTTAAGCCATCAAGCCCAAGAATGTTAACAGTAAGTAATCAACAACAAATTCCACTTAACTAAAATTTTCCTAATAGAGAAATAGTTGAAAATTATATATACCATATAATCTGGTATGTGAGCATAAAAAGGCAATAAAAAGTATTTGATAAAAATTTTGTGTAAAAGCTTTTATTTGCTATAAGGAAGAATGTTAAATAAAAAATGTTTAACAATTATTCAGATGTTAAAGAAAGATAAATGAGGCAGCAATCATCCAACCTACTACATCACCTTCACCTAATCTATTAACATCACAAAAAACATGTTCCGCAGTTCTATCTAGCAGTACTCTTCAACTAATTTATTGAATAATAAATTGTCAAGCAACTCATCCCAAACCTCGCGAGCAACTTAAAAAAAGAAGAAATACAAAATGCACAGACGAATGTTTTAAACCGAAACCGTTATCTGCTGCCTGGATGGGTCGGATAATCACAAACCATCTCGTTTCCATCATGATCATCCAAATGGAAA